AACAAATCCTGAAGTCCCAAACAAAACAGATAGATCTGTTGAATATGAACAGAGTATGAACAGAGATTCAGAAAATAAAGAGAACATTGGCAGAGACTAGTCAAAGTTAAATTACCCAGTAGCAAACTTGTGTACTATCAGAAACATATCAAACCTTTCTTTAACTGGACTCCATGAAAGTAGCTCTGTAGAAAAAACCCATCCTTTTTAGACATTGGTAAGGATTATACTGAAGAGAAAAGAAAAAGTAGTACCTTATTTGCATGGACTGAACTCTAAGACCGCTATAGTCAATTTCTTCCTTTTGTTCAAACTCCTTCCAATCATCCTCTTCCTGTAAGAAAAGATAAAAGTTGTCACTTTCTCTACAACCAAAGTAGAAAAGAAGAACATACCTAAGATAATACAAAAAAACCCCAAAAAACTGAGGGTGAAGGTACAGTTCCAGGAGAAACCAAACTGTGTGCCCCGCTGCCAAGAAGGGAAAGGACTGCACACCTCATTCCCTAAATCACTGTGTGTCACCTGGGATGCACCTGAGAGCTGACTTAACTCACTAGAACAGCCAAGAAATGCCCCAGCAAGAAGTCATTCAAGCAAAGAAAACCACATCACCTCAGCAAAGACACATCAGGAAATCAAGCAACAACATAGTATGGAACAGGACCCTGCAGTCACGACCAGGGCAATACAAGAGCAAGACCTCTCCCTTTCACTAGCAATAGACTTTTACAACAGCTTGAATGCACACAAAGCTTTACATTCACTTTTCCATCATCTGTTTCATAAGCCAAACAAAAAAGAACATTTGGAATAGCTTACAGTGGATTTATGACAAAGATCAATAATGGTACCTTTGGCTTTTTCACATTGACAGCCACATTTACAGCCTTGTTTCCTAAGCAGTGTTTTCGTAACAGTAGAAAGGTCAGCTTCAAAACCACAGCAATCTTAGTACACAAAATGTGTGTATCTTTCAAGAGAACCACTTGAGGGTTCTAAAATGGGAGCCTGTTTGGGGAAAGAGGGACTCACCTAAGTGGAGGCATTTTTGTCCTACTGTGTCACCAGGAGATTCTGGGATTATTAAGGTAGACCAAAAATGGACCAGAACAGACAAGCAGTCCTCCCATGTTCCCAGTCCCAGCTTTAAGACACACACAGCCTAATTAGGAGTTTACCTAATTCTTACACTCTATGTGAAATGCAGTTATAATCCTCCAAATAGGAGGACCTTGTGAGCAAGGTCTGCCAAAGGCACAGCCCCCTTTCCACTGAACAGCTGAGCACAAACCTGCTTTTAGAGCCCTGTGATGGGATCTCCTCGGCAGTCAATCCCCAACAGAAAAAACTTTGACCTGCTTCAGAGTAGCAGCAGAAGTAGGAAATGACCTCATGTTGACTGCACTGTCTGCTGCAGATTCAGTCTTCTGGAAGGGCAGTAGTCTACAATTCTAAAATCTTTTCGATTTCTTAAATCCATATCTCCATGGAAACATTAGCTTCCAAGCTAACATACCTTTCACATTTAATGACTTTTGTTTCTAATCCAAGTACCAGCTTCAGTCAAAGCCAGATATTTTGCAAGCAAGTGAGCAGAAAAGCAGCTGAAAGATTAGCACTGACCTTGATCTACTTAGAAAGCTACTGCACGTGTCAAGCTCCCCAGGTGAAACAACAAGAGGAAACAGGAGAGTATTTCTTAAGATTCATTTTGAAATACACAGCATAAGAGCTCTTATATCAATCTAGCACAACAAAATCATTGATCCTCTACGTAAGCATGAAGAAAGCAAGGTATCTAACTTCCAAAAGCCCTTTCACAAGCCATCTTTTTACACTCAGAGTATAATGTTATAAGGATAAAGATTCAATTCCTAGCAGTAAGACGGGAACACATCCTCAGATTATTACCTGCTGAAGCCTCCAAAGGAAAACAATACCAAGAGACAAAAAAAAAAACCAAAAAAACCCCAGAAATAGAGATAAGAAGCGCAAGTAATTTTTTAGATCCTATCTGTCCGGTCTACAGCAGACAAATATATAACAAAGGTACTGCACGTGTCAAGATCCACAATTAAAAAACCATCAGGAAGCAGTAAAGTATTTCTTAAAATTCGTTTAAAAATATAAAGCATTAGAGCTCTCATAATTACTTTTGGTTAAAATTTCATTACTTCAGTGCTGATATTGTTGACAGGAAGAACAAGGGCGGAGGAAGAAACAGAGAGCTACGAACTCAAGTATGGACATTTAAGTTTCTCCTACATTCTCATCGTTTCACTGTAATACGCTACCAAAAAAAACCCCAAAACAACAACAACAACAAAAAAAAAAAAACTACTGGCAGCAAAACCCTGCCTGGCAACGAGGCACAGAGCTCGGCGGGCTCTGGAGGAATCTTATCGCCAAGGTCCACATGCCACGCTGCACAGCCCCAGGTGGCACCTGACGCAAACCTCCGGTTCCGGCCGCAACACCCAGAAACCTGGGAGGGAGTGCCGGGCTGCGCCGCAGCTGCAGAGCGGGAAGGGGCCCAACTTTCTCGCGTCCCCCAGGGCAAGGACCGCCGAGGAAGGCTCCCCCCACCCCGCCAGCAGCACCAGAAGCGCCGGCAGCGCCCGCCCGGCGGCCCCGGGGCGGGGCCGGGAGCGCCGCCAGCCCCGCACGGCCCCGGGCGCCGCATGGCCGGGCGGCGGCGGCGCCCCCTGCCGGCAGGAACCCGCGGCCTCCCCGCCCGCACCTTGCTCGCCGCCTTGGCCGAGGAGCCGCCGGCGGCGCTGGAGGCGGCGGCGGCCCCGGAGCCGCCGCCCTCCGTCGGTCGCGGGGTCCCCGCGGCCGCGCCCGCCGCGTTAGAGCCGGCGTTGGAAGCGCTCGAGGCGGCAGCGGCGGCGGCGGCACTTCGGCTGCTCTTCTCCTTCCGCTTCTTCTTGTCCCGCTTGGCGAAGAAGTCGTCCAGGCTCCGCTCCTCGGTCTCCGCCATAGCGGCGGCCGGGTGGGGAAAGGAGGGCGGCGGCGGTCCGGGCTAAGAGGTGAGCGGCGCGGCCCTCCCGCTGCTCGGCGAGCGCGGCCGCCCGGCTGCGGCTGCTGCGGCGGCTCCTGCCCGGGCCCGCCCGGCGGCCCGCGCACCCCACGCCTGACGCGACCCGCAGGGAGCGGAGGGGCTGAAGGGAGACGGGGCGGGGCCGCGCCCCCGACCGCGCACGCGCTGCCACGCCGCGGCCAATGGGCGCCGCCGGCCGCTCGGGGGTGGCTCCAGAATGGGGCGAATGGCGCTGACGTTGAGGCGCGTGAGGATGCGCGCGGCGGGCGCGGGGAGGGAGGCGGCGAAGCGGCCGCGGATTGGCCGAGCCGGGCGGGACGGCGCGTGCGCGCTCGGGGCCGGGGCTCGCGCCGGCCTCTCCCGCCCCGCCCTTCCGCGTCCGGGATCCATGAGGGTGGGAGGGAACGGTGGGCCCCGGGCGTGGGGGCCACGGGGCGCATCGGGAGGAGTGTGGCCAGCAGGATGAGAGAGGTGATCCTGCCCCTCTGCTCAGCCCTAGTGAGGACACATGTGGTAGTCCGGTGTGCAGTTCTGGGTTCATCAGGACAAGAAGGATGAGCTACTAGAGAGGGTGCAGTGGAGGGCTGCAAAGATTATGAGGGGACTGGAGCATCTCTTTATGAGGGCAGGAGAGACTGCAGGAGCTGGGCCTGTTAATCTAAAGACGCAGATTGGGTGGTCTCATAAATTTACATAAACGTCTCCAAGGCAGGTGCCAAGACAGTTCCAGGCTCATTTTCATAGTTCCCAGCAACAGGACAAGAAGCAATGGCCGTAAGCTGAATCATGAGAAATTTCACCTTAGCATGAAGAACTTCTATATATTGAAGACAGCAGAGCGCTGGAAGAGGCTGCCTGGGGAGGGTATGGAGTCTCCCTCTCTGGAGACATTCAAACCCCTCCTGGATATGTTCATATGTCACCTCCTCTAGGTCACCCTGCCTTTGCAGCAGGATGGACTGGATGATCTCCAGAGGTCTCTTCCAACCCTAACAATTCTGTGATTGATACCAGCATAGCTCCTCTGGAAGCCCTTGGCTGCTTCCCGCTTTGGGTGCAGCCCTTTCTGTCAGGACCTGTTCCAAGGAGGCTGTGAGAGCTGTTGGAGCAGCCCCAGTCTTCAGCTGGTCCCTCAGGCTCAGGGCCAGCCCAGCTCCCCCCGGCCCTTGAGGAAAGGTGACATTCATTTCCAGTGTGGACTGCGGGGACAGAGGCACTGCCTCCCACACCCCAGCAAGGCCTGTGAACTTACGCTGTCATTGCACAGGATACAAGGAAGTCATTTAGCTTTCATCTTGGGTCTGTGTGGTTAAGTGAGTAAGTCTTGAAACACCACTCTGTCTAGGATGTCTGGATGCGTTGGCCTGAGCTTCCTAGCTGCTTTTCTGACTGGCATTGAAGCCTAGGGAATGTATGCTGGAAAACAAGCTTCACAGCTGGTGTCTGCAGTGTTACCTCTCACTTTGTGTACTGTAGTGACCTTAAACTCTGGGAAAAAACATGGGTGTTTAAGAAGTTCACTGTGGTTTCAAATCACGTCAAAAGCTTTGAGGCAGGACATTTGGAAAAACATTTTCAGCCTGTCATGACTCATAAATAGTTACATGAAACACTCTTTCCAATTACTTCTTTCATCAGCCATCTAAAGGAGATAGAAGTTCCTACTGGGGAAGTGTGAGCCCAAATGAAAATTGCCCATCAAATATGCATTGATTTGTGTTACAATTTATATAAAAGTAGGCATGTTTGTATTCTGGAGTTGTTTAGTATAATTCTGTGCATGTCATATTTTCACTTGAAATAATTATGTATGTGTGTATTAGCATATAAATTAAAAGTTTTTCCACCCTTTGGAGGTTGTCAGTCTCAACTTATGTCCATGACAATGCTGTTTCTTAGTGTTTTCCATCCGTATTTCTCAGGTTGCTTGAAAAAACAGGCAAGGTGCCATTGACGTTGCAGAAAGAGGCTAAATACACAATGTCTTCATGAAGTGTTTTGTAGCTGTGAGTAACTGAGTCACTGTAGTCAAGCATTCTGCCTTTGGGAAATGTGTTACAATCTCTTTTTATGTGTAAACCCGATGTCCTCCTTGTAGTTTTACTACCTGTGTACTTAGAGGCTTTGAGCCTGCACAGAGGCCCTAGAGAGCTGCAGAGTTGCAAGCATAAGAATTAATTTGGTAACACCAAGGATGTCACGTGATCAGTGACACTTTCCATTTGTGATAGGAATCATTACTGAAGTAGGGAGCAAATTTGGTAGTAAAATCTCATTTTTCTGTGCCTCCTGGGTACTCCCTACTGTCCCCTTCAGCTGATGGAAGGTCATGGGGAAGGTGTGAGAGGGAACGGCTGGGTGTGGAAGAGTGTTTGACATTCCTGTTGTCAAAGGCCACATTCCCTTGTGTTTGTGCTCCTTTATTTCCTGGGAAGCCAACATACCTCCAGCACTGCCCCATGCTGGGACTTGCAGGCTCAGCACTGGTAATACCATTCAACTGAGCAGACAGTTTGTGTCCCTCAGCTTTTGTGGTAGATAATGTACTAAGCACAGTGCTGTGCCTGATTCTAAGCTGATCATTTATTGAATTTCAGCAAGTGGTAAAATATTTTCATTGTATTATTATGGATAGCCCTGTTGTCAGGTGGGAGAATGTGAACCCGATGCCTTTTTGCAGCTTTTAGCATCTGCGTCACTTGTCTCTTGCAAACACAGTACTGTAAGGCTGGAATGCCCAGCTCTGGATTAGAAACTTAATACCTGTCAGGAGCAGCACACCAAGAAACATTTCAGCTGTTAAATCTGGAACAGACTCAGCAGAAATCATGGAAAATAGCAGCAACGTTTTATGCCTCAGAAGGCTTAGATCCCGATTTAAAGACACGTCTCAGTGCTTTAAAGGAAGCATTAGTTATGCAGTTATGCTTGGATTTACCTCCCACCTCTAGTTTTATTTTTATGTAAAGTTGTGAAAATGTGCTGATGCATGGCATTTGTATTTCTGTGCGAACGCATTGCTTCAGCTTTTACCACTGAGATTCTTAGTGTGTAAAAAGATGCAGGAAAAAAGTTATTTTTTGTGTTTTTCTTTTCCTTTCTCAAATTCAACGTCCCTCAATACTTGCACAGAGGACACTTGGCTGAAGAATGGCTCGAAGGCACGGACTGGCAGAAGTGATGTTTGTTATGCAAGGAATATATCCAGAATGCCACATTGCTGTGCCGGGAGCATGAGCTCAGCACACAGCTCCCTGCTGCACTGAGCATCACTGACCTGTGTGACCTGCCCTTGGCAAGACACCGCATTCTGAGTGCCTCTGCTCAGCTACAGATTTACCCCCAGGACTCCGATGACTTTGTCTCTCTCTCCATACAGTGGTGCTTGCCTGCCTCTTCTCCATTCTGTAGCTATGGCAAGTCCTGCCATGGCACTGCTCCCTGTGCATCTTGGTGTGGTTTATAAAGCCTGAGGAAGGAAGCATTACTGCATGTAGGGAAAGTGGTGCAGCAGCCACTGTGCGCTTGGAGAAACCAAAGGAAGGAAATTTGGAGTGAGTTGTGGGTGATGGAAGAGATAGGAGCAGACTTCCATTTCCAGTCTCCCAGTGTTTCATCTTCCTTTGTACCCAATTATCTCCATTCTGTGACATGAAGGCGACAGCACGGCAAACTGCACTGACATTTGTGGAGCACAAGCAGAAGAACATTCAGTAACTCCTGGGCAGATGCCTGCTTAAGGAAATTGGAGAAGGTGCCCTTAGGTGCAGAGCAGCTTGCAGAAGGGTTCTGGTGGAGTCCTTGTCACATTGTGGGCCCAATTCTCTTTAGGAGCATAGCCTTCCTCTAAGCTCTGAATTTGGTGTAGTTTCAGACCTCTGCAACCAGAAGAGAGAAGTTTTATCATGCGCATTTCTCCACGACTGATTGCCATCTGAACGCAGGCACTGGTGCCAGCAGTGCATGGTGGTTTGTTAAGCTGTTAAATTTTAGACAATGCCAGAGTGAAAGTGACCTTAAAAATAATCTTTTAACCACAGACTCAGTTCTTATACTAAAATAGAAACAGTAGAATGATAGGCTGGAATACCCGTTTCTAGCTGGTGTGCTATGTTGCTGCTCAGTGTGAAATCTTAAATGGGGCAGGGGCTCACATAGAGCTGGCACCCTCTCCTTCCCCCAAGGACGCAGCAGTGTCCTGCCATGGGTTCAGGCTGTGGTGCAGAAGAAGCTGTGCCTGTCTGGGAGGAGTATAAAGTACACATCTGGTTTGAGAGCACAGCTCATCTGACCTAGTGACTAGCTGTCACCAAGGGGGTGGCTGTGCTTCACAGTCTGGACTAGTTCCCATCCCTGTGCTGACATTGCTACATGTCTGTCTCTGCAGTGGCCAGATTCAGGAAACCAAGTGTCAGGAAAGTTTTCCAGCATTTTTCAGGGCTAATTTTCTGCTGATTTTGAATCTTGAGCTGTCTCCTGAGACATCAGACAGATGTTGGTGCTAACACAAGACGACGCAATGGGAATACATAGCACATGAGGAGGAGCTGAGGTGTCTTTTTGTGCAGCACCTGGCTGTTAGATTGTATTATCTGTGCTCTCTGACTGCATCCTGAGTGTTCATAACAGCAAATGCCACAAATTCCTTCACAGGAATATAGGAGTGAGAGATACTGCAGTGGGAGATAATAAAATCTGTTTTCTGGTGCTGATTTTCTATGGAAAACCAGTTGAAAACGTGTTCATGCGTATTTAATAAAGCAACTGCTAGACTAGAGGATAAATATAAAGCTAAATCAGTTTATGAACCTTACTGCTTACAAATAGTTGTGAAAGCCTTTAGTCTCTCATATTCTCAATATCCCATCTTGCACAGTGAAGACTGTCAATGCTTAGACAGCATTCAAGCAGCCTGGAGGGGCTGCATAGCCAGCTAGGGACTCACAGGAGTCTGTGTAAAAGTGCAGAGAGATTTCTTCACAAGAGCTTTAGCACTTAATATGAAAACACCTTGATTTAGAGGGGCCAGATGTGCTACATTTGACTTCTGATGGGCTATTCAAAACAATAATCTTTTCTGTGGTTTTTGGTCTTTGTTAGGAATAGAGAGAAAAGCTGCTGGAAATTCATTATTTATGCTTAGATGCTTCCTCCTTTTCCAGACACTTCTCTGTGCTGAAATACCTTGATGATTTTGAAAGAAACTATTTCCATTCCAATGAATAAACATCTTAGTACTAATCTAATTTAATTTTTATGGAGTACAATGGATCATGACATATAAAAAACTTTTAAAAAATCTTCCTTTCACATCTGAGTATAACCGTAGACTCAGAATTTCATCAGATTTATCTCCATGAGTGACATTTATAAAGAATAGTTTCACAGTGGGATAGTCAGTTGTTCTTCACACCTGAAACATCACTAGAAGATAGCAAATGGATCTGAATCCAGATTGTATATTGTTATGTTTTTTAAATTCCCTCTTCACTTTCAAATCAGAGGGAGATTGTTCTCTTCTGTGTCAGGAATGAGTGGGAGGTTATGTTCTGTTAATGCCAAAAAGTGATCATTCCTAGACACCAACCAGTTAACCCCAACCCAAGGGCATGTGCCATCTAATTTCTTGTGTCACTGTTTGTGTGTATTTTCTCTCATCATCACTGCTGTTGATGGAGACTCAGCTTGCTAAGTTCTGTCTGCAACGATGTATAAGAAGGTATTATTGCTGCTCTGAGGAGCCTACATTATATGAGAAAAAAAAAAAAAAAACAAAGCCAACTAGAATCTGCCATCATCTGCCTTTATTTTTTTGGTTGTTGTTGGGTAATCTTTTAATCCAGTAATTTTTTATCAAAATCTTGCAGGTGGTGTATGCCAGATGGACTTTTTGCAGAGATTAAATGAAGGATAATTTGTCAAGCAGCTGCATCAGGAAGGATTTTTCAAGTGTGGGGAAATGTACAGGGAAAGGCATGACAACATTTGTATCCCTATTCCTGTAATTCACTGATGGATCACGTTTAATGGATTTGGAGAGTATTTGATTTTATTAGTCATTAAAATCTAAGTAGGTTTCTTAGCTAATGTTTCAATTAAAAATCAAAATATCTAAAGTCTACCTCTCATATGTCCTGTATGCCACTGTATTCTCTCATATATGCAATTTCTCAGTAGTCTTTAAGTCCATTTAATGAACTGTGTTGTCACCTAGTGTAAGTGTTGGTCTTGTGAAGTCCCAATCCAACAAACACATGTATGGTTAACTTCATCGCAGTGCAGAAGCATGTGAAGGAAACCAGTGATCTGCCTAAAATTTTGTATGATAGGAGCTAAGGTTCATTATGTTTCTCTGAAAATGCAAGCTCCATCTTGGCATTTTATGTGACCATACTGCACATGCAATACAATGGGGTTGTCAATGTTTAAAGTATCAAAGAAAATCAAAACTGAAAGATGGAGAAATCTTTTTCCTCATGATACCGTCAAAATACAGGAAATGACCTAAGGTCAGGCATCAGGATGATGGTGTGTGAATTCGTGTTCAAAAGAAGTGTGGCCGACTTGCCTTGGAGGGATGTTGATTTTAAGAAAGAGCAACCATTTTAAGAAAGAGCAATATAAAAACAAATATAAAAATATATCTCAAAAAGTATCAAATTTTCACAAACTGATACCCTGGCTTGGAATTCCAGTATACAGTAAAAGGATGTAACCTTGCTGCAGGCAGAACTGCTGTTGCTGTCCTGCACCTTCAGCTTTTCCAGAAGTTTAGTCTAGACTTAAAAATGTGTTTATAAGGTACTGTTTGGATGCTTAGATTAATGATTCTGCTGGTTTACATGTTGCAAAATTAATCATGTTGAGTTAACAGTGCACTTAAACTCCTTTGGCATTATTTGAATTAGATTTCACACTACTGAGCTGATGGTCTTGTGACAAAACAACATTATCATTTCCATGTGGGTGCTGTGTACACAGTGGAGGGGTAGCTCAGTCTTGATATATTTATATATATATCTTGATATATTTATACTGTAAAAAGAAAGAGTTTACTTGGTGGGAAATGGAGAGCTGAAATTCTTAATCCAACCCCCCCCCAGCTATCATGAAAAATGCTGGAAGGAAATAAAAAATCAAACAAAAGCCTGATATTCTTTATTTTTATTATAATTTTAACAACATGAGTAAATTGAAATCTGTAAGCAAAGCAATTACGTGAAGAGGGTCTAATAAAGTTGTTCAAGCTACAACCTACTTTGATTGTTGAATCAAACTGTATAAAGCAGGCTGCTTTGATGAGTTTTTAGCTTCCACGAACATAATTGGCAGTGACATCTTTTGCTTTAATGGCAATGGTCATCTGTGAGCTGGGAGTCATAATCAGCTGAAAGTAAAAAAAAAAAAAAAAAGATAAAAATAAAAATTGGTCACTACTACAAACAGGAAAATTGTTGAACCAAGTCCTATCCTCAGTTCAGCTGGTGAAATCTCACCAGCTTCAGCAAGATTTGATTATTTTAAAATTCTCCCTGTCCTGAGTAGAAGAGCAAGTCAAAATCTGTGGATCAGATTCTCAGAGGTTCCTGACTAAGGGTGGTTAAGGATCTTAGAAATGCCCAACCAAGCAACTCTACCCAATCACTGTAAAGGTGTTTAGGTGTTTACAGGTTATTCCCAGAGGAAAAAATCTTCAGAGTTGGGACTACATTTCTTCACAAAAGGTACAGTCAGTGGAAGTCCTTCAGGACAAACTTACAAGCCTAGACAGGGAGTTTTCCCAGGATCACAGCTATAATATTTGGCCTGTATTGAGGGAGGAGGAAGGATGGCATAATGTATTCAAATCAGGAAACAACACCGCATCTGCTTTGCAGCCACTAATGTAGCCCCTGGTAGCAGCTTTTTAATGTCACATCTCAAACCTTCAGAGAAGTGAAACTCATGGCATGTTCCCAAACCATGTCCTTCTTTGGTAGTGCTGGAAACCACCCATCTCCAATACATTAGGAACCTCTGTTTGATGGGTTTTGGTGTGTTCTCCCCTTTGGCAGCTTCTCCAAACCTCACCATCTACCAGCCAGCCTTATGAAACATGAGAAGCACCCCAGTCCTCCTGCTTCCAGCAACCTCACAACCCCTTCCCAGGGAGCGTGTTCTTCATTATTTTAAGGACAAGTACCTGCTTTGCTCTCCATCCAGGAGGCAGTGATATGCAGCAATGTCTTTCTCCAGCTGTTGTTTGCTAGTCAGCAGATTTTCACGATCTCTCTGCTGCTGCTCGGTTTCTACTTTGATTTCTCCCATCTCTGCCTCCAGCTTGGAAATGACAGAGCCTAGGTTCTGCAGTTCGATGTCATGCCAGTGCTTGGCGTCATATAAAGAGTTCTCCAGACCCCTCTTCTGCAAGGGCAGGACAGCAGACAATGAATCAGTCAATTTCCATATGCTTCATAGTGATTTTTATTCAGGTTTGGCCAATATCTCTATTAACTATACATATATTTTAAGAATTCCTTTCTTTAGCTACCTTGGTATAAGGTATTATCATTACAAAAGTTGAATATCTGCACTTTTACAAGGTGCAGATATTCCTGACATTGTCCAGTACTACACTACTAAGCAATCTTGGTGAGATTGAGTATGAATACACTGAAGATGGAAATTTGGAGCCTGGTTGTCAAATGTGGTACACTTAGAGCACCATTTCAATCAAGAAGAGCCCAGAAATGTCTGGCATCTCTGGAAACAGTATTTGATGTGTCAGAACCCAGGACATTCCTCTGGCTGCCCTGGAGGACTTGAGACCCTGGCAGGGGGCTCAGAGACCCTGGCACAGAGTCAAAGACACCTGTGCCTTTGATTTTAACCCATGGAAACAATTACCAACTTGTGTGAAGAGTTACAGGCTACAAGGGTTTGAATTGAATGATAGTAAATTTATCACAGGGTGAAAATGTACAATTTTGAGGCTTTTAGAATGGGGGTTCAAGAGGCAAGATGGAAGAATCTGGGCGTGTCCAGTCTTTCTCCTTCTTCTTGTCCTCCATCTTCTGCTGCGATGATGGCACTTTTGGATTGGTTTAGAGTAGAGACAAACTGCCTAACATAGGTGATGGGTACTGGAAAATTATTGTAAATATAAAATACACATAGTTTTTAGTACAAAAAGATAACACCGCCCCGAGGGCAGTCAGTGTGCCTCAACCCAACCTGCTGGACAGAACTCCACAGGTCGGAAAAAAAATGTTTTAGATAAAAGAAAATAAACCATCTTGAAAACCAGAGCCAAGGAATCCCAACTTCTTCAAGAGCGGGGCTGGGAAAAAAGACTTTTTAGTACCTCAGGAGCCATTCTAACAACTCAATACCCGAGATTGGTGAAAAATGGGATTCATTCTCAACTCTGCATCCCAAGCCAGGAATGCAGGAATGTTCCCCTCAGAGGCTGAGTTGAGTTCTCAGAGAATACACCCACTGAAAATCCAGAATTCCTTACCAAGGTTCTCAAAGATTCAGTTTCTGCTTGCAAGCTCTGTATTTTGCAGGCAGTTTCGTGGAACTCGGTTCTGAGGCCCTCCACCAGCTCTTCCTCCTGGGTCCGCACGGCAGCCGCCGTCTCAGCCTGTTGCTGGTGAAAGAAGGCGACTGTCATCACAACCTACACAAGTTATGGTTTAGCTTCCTTGCAGACCAAACTGACAGTAATATTTTCACAGTTTGTGGCAATCCTGACTCTAAGTTTGATTCCTGTGCATTAAATTCCTCAGTTGAATAATTCTGGATACTTCTTAGTGTCAAAATTATCATATTTTCTAGGCATT